CTCAAAAGGGTTAAAATGACGAGGGTGGTTATGAGAGTCCACCTGAGACATGTATGCAGAGCCTAACGTGGAAGAAGCAGCCAGTAAAACACAACAATCATTGTTATTTGTTCCTTGGTCCAAGCTTAACTTCCACCCCCAACCCCCTGCATCAGCTTCTACTTATTTCCCACCAAATCAGAAGGCCCAGAACTCCTTCTGTTTTGGCTGGTGCAGTCAGCCTGATGCGGTTTCTGTCTGTAAATCCTACACCACGGACAGCCTGTTTTCTGGCTTCAAGAATGTTCATTTTCCATATGCTCCCCAGCTGGCTACCAGTTCAGTCTCCTAAAGGTTAAACTTGTGTTCAGGAGCATTCTTTTTCAATCATTACCTTTTCTTACAAAAATGCAATCCATCAATGGTTAGGATATCAAAGCAGCTACAAACGCACACACACACGCACACACACACATCCATGTATGCACACCCAGCCATTCACACATCCCCTAGCTCCTCAGGCTATGTTTTACAATTGCCCAATAGCCTTTTATGTTTTGTGTGATGGAGACATCTGTGGTTGCCCTGGCAATGTCATTATTGAATTCTACAATTCAATACAACCAAACTCATCAGTGGTAGCCACTTCCTCTAAGTAAAGGCTTTGAGTCTTTGGACCATCCCCTTTCTTGACCTCCTTGCTTGTCCCATCCCTGGGACCCATAACAGGGATATTTCTATGTGTCTTGTTGGCCTTCCTTCTGCTCACAGTGATTCAACGCAGGCTGAGCCCTGCAGAAGAGTGCTTCCAACCTGCTCTGTGCTCCTGCTCTTCTTAGCTGGGCCAACCTCCATCTAGAACCAAAGGCCCAGGGTCAACATTGAGGCCTTTGCACTTCACCTTGTGACATCTGCGTGCTTTATGAGAATCCCACTGGCAACTGTAACTTGAGAAGGGGATTTGTAAGGAATGTGGGTCTCCTTGGGTTTGGGAGGTGGAGACTTTGAGGCAGACTAGGCTGGAGGAAGTTCCAGATGAATTGGTCCTCATTGACTGGGTTTGTGGAAGGGAACACCTGCAGGGCCCTTAGGCCAGGGGCCTTGGGAGGATGGGATGGGTGTTGTGGAGTTTGAGAGCACCTTGCTGAAGCAGAGCCCACCATGTGGGCAGGGCTGGCGCTCTCTGAGGCAAAGCCAGGCCTAACTGAGGACCTAACATTGGCTTTGCAGATTCAGGGCCACCCGAGCTTGCAGCCTGGGGGATGTGTCTTCCTGGTGAAGCCAGACGAATCTCCAGGTAGCCATAAACTGACTACATGGATCTCATTCCTAAACACATGTTCAAAGGTGATAAAATAAATGCAGATGGCTTCTCTGAGCCCTCAGTGGAGGGCTTTTACATTGACTAAGTGAACTATTAAGCACACATAGACACACATGCACTCACACCCATGGGAGAGCAAGCAGAAGTAGAAAAATTCTCAAAAATGCCAAATTCTGCAATATCAACACTAGCCTGCAGATAGCATTGTTGAATGAAAGAGATAGGGAGATGGAGAAGGAGAGAGAGAGAGAGAGAGAGAGAGAGAGAGAGAGAGAGAGAAAGGGAGAGGGAGGGAGGGAGAAAATTGTCCCATAAATCTGCAACAAAGAAAGAAAATATACAACACACTTCAGAAAAGCACACAGACAGAACTACTAGCAAAATACTAAGTTTTTTTGTAGAGAATGGTTAGCAATGCATTCCTTGATGTGCTGAGAAGGATTAAAGACCTGCCAGTCAGATGGGGCCAATGGTTTGGTTAGAGACCTACAGAATGGAAAGGGGAAAATGCTACCCTAAGGTCCGCCTCTCCTGGGGTAGGTGGTGGATACACTTTAATTAGGATTAATCACTAGAGTGCTGGGAGACTCCCACCACAATTTCAGAATGTGGGTTTCTGTAAAGCCCTTAAAAGCTAGTTGTCATCATCATCATCATCATCATCATCCTCATGAATGCTTTGAAATGCTTCCGGAAATGGATGGTTTCATTACACTGCCAAACAACTTTATGACATACACACTATCCCCTTTTACAGGCGAGTGGACAAAGGTTCAGAGAGACTAAGCCACTTGCTCAAGTTCACCTCCCTATGTGGGGGAAACTTAAGACTCATGAGGGAGTAGAAAGAGGCTCCTGCCCAGGGCCAGCAGAACTTGACATTGCAGCACTTCCTAAGCACTGAGGCCCATGCCGTCTGCACACTGCCCCTCTGGGCTACAGAATCTCCTGATGGCCATGCTAGGACAGGGGAGCTCTCTGAGGTCACACAGCTGTTGGTAACAAAGCTGGCCCATGATGCCTTTTCTCCTGTCCTGCTGAGTTCTTCACCCTGCAGCACACCTCCCCATTTACCGAAGCCCCCAGAAGAAACCAGGCACTAAGATAAAGGGGGACGGAGGAGTGTGTGGAGTTGTCCAGGAGCCAGACACTAGCCCTGCAGGGCCCTCCTATCTCAGAGATGGTTTTAATTTTCAATCTATCAACACCACAAGTGTGTAAATTGGATGGAAACAGGCCTCCTGTCAACCATGATGAAGGCTCTGCCCTGGGTCCAGAGGCTTCACATGTTGACTTTGGCAGCAGCCGAATGCCCTCTATGCCAAGACAGTTAGGGAGAGGAAGCTGGATAATGCCTCATTGCCCTGCCACCCAGTGTGGAGGAGGCTGAGCCACTATGCAGTCTGCAGCTCAGATTCTTCTCTCCAGAGTATTCATCTCATCCCAGGCCACTTTCTCCTTGGAGCTGCATGCGCCCCAGGATGCAGCCCCAGACTTGCTCTTGATGTGTGGGCAAATTCCTTGTGTTCTAGGTAGGGTCCAAGACTCAGCCCTGCTAGCTAGGACCTGTGCCTTCCACTGCTGGTCTGTATCACCCAGGTCCTTCTCCCAGATCAGCCAGACCTTCTACTGATTCACAATAGAAGTTCCAGAAGGAGCTCTTAAGAACTCCTCCACAAAGGTCCTGAGGAGGGAAGAAAGACCCCGTGATGGACAGGTTAGGTAACTTTTGTTAAATTCTTAAATATATTGTCTCCAATTTCCCAGAATCCCCTGTTTAACTAGGGCTACAGTATTTCTTTGTTAGGCTCCTGTACCCAGAATTGACTTGTCTTGTTCCTGCAATGCTGGTTCAACAGTCTGGACCTGAACCCTACAGGTGCTTCCTGGTTGCAGTGTCCTTTAGTTGGCTGCTTGGGGGAGGCCTACACTCTTGCTGGAAGCCCAGGAAAAGGTTCAGCTGTCACCTTCCAATGATGAGCTCTTGAGAACTGGATTTGGGTCAACCCCAAGACCACCATTGTCCTATCAACTTGTTCTTGAGGGGTAAGCTCAGTAAAATGAGAGCCACAAAAGATCCATGTGTAGAACTGTGGTTCCATTTCTCTAGCACTGTAACATTTACTCTGAAATGCAATGCTGCTATTTAGAAGGGAGAGGGAAGAGAGACAGGTGATGAAGGATGGAGACTGCTGTATCATCATTCCAACATGGACTTCAACCTGATTCTATGACTAATCTGCTAAATGACCTCAGGTGAGTTACACCTCCTGTTTCTTCATCTATAACCTTGGAGACAATGGCTCGCTCCAAAGATTTGTGACAATGAGTTGTCACCATGTTTGCACGTGCATGGCCCATAGCAAAGCACATCATCAATTCCTCATCCTTGCTCTTCTATTTTGGGTTCCAGAATCAAGTGTAGTACAATGCCACTGCGTCTGCAGAGGCTGTTCCAAAGGTTCACGTCATACTCTTCGTGGGCACATGTTAGAGAGCTCAGACCACGTGTCGCTCAGGGTAGGAATAGCAGACATGAGCCTTCATTACAGGCAGGGCAGTGCAGGCCTGGTGCTGGACGGGGGTCAGGGCAGAAACGAGTGACTTCTGAATTAGATTGGTGGGCACTTTTCACCTCCAGCAAGATGGGAGTGAGAACGCTTATGCTCCAGCCCCTCAAGAGGACAAACTGCTTCCCATCTGGAAAAAGACATCAGCAAACTCCCTGGGGGATGCTGATAAAGCCCTCTTCTGTTGTGCCTGGACAAGACAAGTGAAGCCATCACCACAGCCACCCTTGGGCTGTCACGGATCCCCAGTGGGACTCAGTGGGCACCAAGACAGTCCCTTCCATTTGGGATTTTTACATCGCAAGTTGATGAACTAACTCACAACGACACAGAGGAACACGAACACGGAAGAGAGAAGTGAAGGGGTGAGGAAGGCTCATTTGCCAATGGCCACCCGACACCAGGAAGTTACCAATCGTTACTCAACTGACTCCTTGGGACTGCTGGAATGGAGGCGGGACTCCCCATCTGCCTCTGTCCCTGTCAAGTACAGGCTGGAGAGCCTTCAAGGCCACAGGGGAGGAGCTGGAACATGAGCCCTGATCTGACCCAAAGGCCAGGCACGCTCCAACTCTGCATGAGTCTCTGGGAGAGACCACCAGATGAGCGAGTGAGGTCACGGGCCAAGAGGGTCTGTTCCGAGTCAAGTTATCTTCTGTGTATAGATTATTCATGAGCCAGAAGCAAACAGAAGCAAACAGTTACGAACAGCTTAAAAAATTTTCCTATGTGCCTTAAAGGATGAAAAGCACTTACAGAAAGCAAAACAAATACCAGAGCCAAAAAAAAAAAAAAAAAAAAAATCCAACCCTTACACAACCCCAGGCACCCAAACAACAAATGTATTGAAAAGCAACTTCCAATTCTAAAATTCCCAGGTTCATTCGTACTGCTCCTGGACCCTAACACTGGAGCAAACCACAATCCTAACTGGCAAAGTGAACAGTGGAGAGAGGCAAGTGAGTACCTGGTAGTCCATCCTGCTGGGCAGAATCCAATATTAAGCTCCAGGCTACAGGGGTCTGATTTCCAATGAAGGCCATAACAGTCCTTTTAATTCATCAATCAACCATGAAATGTACCGGAAGGAGGCTATCCCTGTGTTGATACACAACTCTGACATCATCTGATTTTAACAAGTTTACTAAGACGACAGTCATGGCCTTGACAATGGTGAATGCGTACACAGTTTTACAGAGCAGCTCTCGAGAGCTGGATCACAAAACAAGGTTTAACAGATGGGAGAGGCCTGAAGGAAGGCAAGCACACGGATTTTATTGAGAAAAAAGCTTATATACTGTAGGGTTGCCGAAGTTTAATAAATAAAGGTCAACTTATAATATATAAAAACAATATAAACATTTATATGCTACATGCATATCATATAATTTAAAGTAATAATTTATATATGGGGAGAGAGGCCAATTCACGTTCTTCCGATTTTTCTCGACAAGGCACACACACAGGAGGTGTCTATCCGTATCCACCGCCAGCCCACCAGTTTGTTGTTTTCCGAAGTCAGTGCCCGCACGTAGGTTTGGGACGTTTTGCACTGGGAATTCCAGTGTTTGTCATCGATGCCCCTGCAACCGTTTTTGACTGGCCTGGCCTCTTTGCATCTCGTTTCATAAAAATATTGTTTGACGGGAGAGTTACCGGTTTTGATCTCCCCCAGCACCGTGACCTGGTGTCCCCGGATGTCGATGGCCGACGACTTGTCGGTCACCCACAGGCTCTCACTGTCACACACCGAGTACTCCCCACGGTGGCTCTTGTGCTCTGCATACCGCTTCCTCCGGGAGCTTCTGTTGGCCACCACGGGGTTGCCCACATAATCCTCCATGAGATACAAGGGAGGGGGCTCCAAGGGGGTGCTGTCACTCAGCAGGACGCGGGGCGAGCTGTAGCGTCTCTGTTGTCGCAGCAACTCCGTGTCCATTGGGATCATGGGCTGGAATTCTGACCTGGCGGGCTCTCCCTGCTCCGGCTCCCGGGGGGCCTCTGCTTTGGGCAGGGTGTTCTGGTAGCCCTCCTTAACGTCCACCACCTGCTTGGACAGCTTGTTTTTCAAAATGTCTGCCTGGATCAGCTTAATAATCAGGGAATTGAGCGAGTCTTCCGGCAAACTCCTTTGATCCATGTTGTTTCCTTGGATGCCACGGAGATAAGCGAGAAATATCACATAAAACAAGATGGACATCACCTTGTTCACCTGTAAGATCTGAAAAGGAAACACAGGTGTTAATCACAGGTCGAGGCAGCCGACCAATGCCATCCTGGCAACAGCCGCTTGATGCTGCGTGTCCCCAGGAGGGCAGGAGAGAGATGGCACCACCAGCGCTCCTCTGCAGATGTTCTGAGGATCCTGCGTCTTCCCTCCACCCTTGGGAGAGGCCAGGGAACGCACTCTGGGTCCTCTCACTCTGGGTCCTCTCACTCTGCTGTCCTTTGCATGGTATTGGCATTCAAGGTCCTCTTTATACCGTGAGGGCACGAAGCAACGCCACTTCCTAAAACACCCTCTGAGCCCAGAAAGACACGCATGGTCCACTCTACCTTGGCCAACTACGAAAACATTGAAATCACCTTCTTTGATCGGCACCAGTGACCTTGGAATTGTCCTGGGAAGCACAGTTCTAATGCTCCCCAGCTAGGGCCCCTGGGGTCTTTCAATGAAGCACACTGAGGCTGGGGATGTGGTCAGACGCCCCTCAGCAAAGGATCATCAAAAAGCTCATGGTAGGCTGGCGCCGCGGCTCACTAGGCTAATCCTCCGCCTGCGGCGCCAGCACACGGGGTTCTAGTCCTGGTCAGGGCGCCGGATTCTGTCCCGGTTGCCCCTCTTCCAGCCAGCTCTCTGCTGTGGCCCGGGAGTGCAGTGGAGGATGGCCCAAGTGCTTGGGCCCTGCACCCGCATGGGAGACCAGGAGAAGCACCTGGCTCCTGGCTTCGGATCAGCGCGATGCGCCGGTCGCAGCGCGCCGGTCGCAGCACGCCGGCCGCAGTGGCCATTGGAGGGTGAACCAACGGTAAAGGAAAACATTTCTCTCTCTCTCTCTCACTGTCCACTCTGCCTGTCAAAACAAAACAAAACAAAAAACAAAAAAACTCATGGTAAACACATTTCATATACAAACTACACATGGATTTCAAGAGTCTGTTTTGGGGTACCACAATAAAATGATGTTTTAATTCTACTTTCCCACAAGTTTTAGGAAGTACCCACATATTATGGTAACAGAGATGGGCTCACGCCTGGCTGGGCCACACCTGGTATGACCTTTGTCAATGAACAGGTGGGACCCCAGACACAGGGTGAGAAAGCACTGAGCCTCAGAGTGCCCTGCAAGCTCTCAGATGGCCACTCATTACCAGGACGCCCAAGGGGATCTGACCGAGGCCTGCAACCTGCAGAAGCACTACCTGCAGAAGACGGAGGTCCTGCAGAAACCCACTCTACTGAACCGGTGGACGTGGCTTGGATACCGAGAGGCACCGTAGATTTGTTTCTCCTGCTCCGGACTTCCTGTTTCCATTACAACCTGTTACCTTCCCAGGGATATTTCTAGCTCTGCTGCTCCTGGCTGGAGTGGCACTCCTCTCCCGCCGTCGCCATGGTAGAATGGCAACACAGGGCGCCTGCGAGTCCTGGTGGAATTGCTGTGCGGATCGTGAGATGCTCTCACTGTTCGTCTCCCCCTCAGTGGGGCAGAGCCAGGCTTTCCTGGGGGCTTGGCCCTGGAGGGAGACTCTCCAGGAGGAGCTGGGATCCTAACCTGCACCCCGATGCCCAGTCCCACCCTTGGGAGGCTTTCCTTCTTTAATTACCATCGCTACCACCTCATTGGCCTCCGGGGACACATCATTTCCTCTTTAAAGACTAAATGTGGAAGATACAATCCCTTCCCTTGGTTCACCTTTGGTACTTTCAGAATTTACCAAATCCAGGGGCAAAATGGGGAGGAAATAAACCAAGGTGACTTAAGAAATACAGGAGCAGACCTGCTTACCAACACCCATGTCTGAGCCTGCTAACGCCAGCCTGCAGACACAGCCTCTCCCCATTTGGGCTGAAGAGCTGCTTGCTCGCTTGTCCCCAAGGCTGACAGCATTGCAGGCGCTTTGGTCCAACTTCCTCTTCCTGGCTCCTGGCCTGCCTCTGTGATAAGGAGACCATCTCCCTTCCATGGGAACTACTTTTCTGGACAACCGACTTCTTCAAGGTCAAAGTTAAGAGAAGCCAGGATTCTAGCATGACTGCCCACCCCTAGAGATTGCTCTACGAATTGTAGCATCCTAGGGAAATGGTCTCCGCTGAATTACTCAATTCCTCAATGTCTGTGTGTAAGTGACAATTATTGCAGTCTTGCAGGCCCAGCAAAATGAAAGTACAACACACATGCAACCAGAATTACCCCACACCTGCCCTCTTCCCCACCCCAAAATACAACTACAATAAAATCATTTGGGATTGAAGTTTGTCCAAAATCTCCCCAAAGGCCAGCCACTGTCAGCGCAGGGTACCCTGGGTTTCTGTTCATAGGCGAACCAATCAAGCATGGCTGGAGAAGGAGGTACCAGGCAGAGTGGGAGTTGATACACAGGCTATTAGGAGGGGATTACATGGGTGAGCTGGAAGGGAGAACGCAGAGTGGCACCCATAGACTGGTGATGAAAGAGGAAGAGTTTTGAATGGCAGTGGCCTAAATATGAATCCCAAGGCTATTAGATGTAGAAAAACCATAAAAAGAGAGCATCAGCCCCAACTCCTTCATTTTACATACGAGGAAAACCCAAACTCCAGTCCAAAGAGGAGGAGAGGCACATGAGGGGAGGGAAAATGTTCTTTGCACCCTGGCCCTGACCTCTCTCTTTTGTTGAATTATGGTTGGGCTCCAACCCCAGCCACTCCGCTGCCCCTTGCATGTGCTTTATGACCCGTGTGCACCTGCTCACCCCTGCACCTTGCCTATCTCTGTTGCTCCTGTTGGGATTTCAGCTCTTCGTCAGTGCCTGGGTCACACGCTGACTTTTCTATGAAGCTTCCCAAGATCTTAGCAGCAGCACCCAATACCTCCTCTGTGTTCCCTCAGCCCAGTCTCCACATGGCTACGATAACAGGTATCACATCCCCTGTGGAATGATACGGTTTGCATAAGTCTTCCTCATTCCTGTGTCTGTACCCTTTTTTACCATCAGTCCAAAAACTTGTAATGACAGTGCTATGGTTTGAACGTGACGGGGCTCATACAGACATCTAAACCCTAAGGTCATAAACTGATGATACTGAGAAGGAGAAAAGATAAGGCAGTTACGGTGTGTAGCATTCATAGGGGCTGCGCCCTTGGAAGGCCTGCGTCTGGGCCCACCCTCTCTCCCTGCTTCCTGGATAATGATTTGCTCCTTCATCAGGGCCATCTGCTGCCCTCATCAGTGACCAAACCATGGGGTCTGTCCCACCTTGGACTTGAATCTCCAAAACTGTGAGCTAAATGAACCTTTTCACTTTATGATGGTAGGCAGCTCTGGTATTGGTTACAGCAATGAAACGCTGACTAATAGGTACTTTGGAATAAGCACTGGGAGTACATCATCTGCTGCAGGCTGGTGCTTCTAAACTACACAAGGCTGCATTAAAACCCAACAGGCTGGGACCTGCATCATGGCATAGCAGGGGAAGCCACCATGCGTAATGCCAGCATCCCATGTGGGCAGTGGTTCGAGTCTCGGCTGCTCCACTTCCAAACCAGATCTCTGCTTGTGGCCTGGGGGAGCAGTAGAGGATGGCACAAGTCCTTGGGCCCCTGTACCCACATGGGAGATCCGGAAGAAGCTCCTGGCTCCTGGCGTCAGATAAGCCCAACTCCGGCCATTGCGGCCATTCGGAGAGTGAACCTGTGGAAGGAAGACCTCTCTCTCTCTCTCTCTCTCTCTCTCTCTCTCTCTCTTTCGCTCTCGCTCTCTCTCTCTCTCTCTCTCTCTCTCAGCCTCTGCCTCTCTGTAACTCTGTCTTTCAAATAAATAAATAAATTTCAAAAAAGAAAATAAAAAAAAACAAGAAAGCAGTGTGAGCTTAACCCAGGCGAGACAGGTCAGTGCATTTCTCTGTTGAGGACGTCTATGTCTCCCTTCTAGTGGTCAGCGCCACGTGCACAGGCCCCCACGGAGCAGCTGTCACATAGTGCTTTTATCATCCCTGTGCCTCCCGTCTGATGACAGGGACCACACCGCCTCTCCACCTCCACCCCCCATGTCGGCGCCTTGCATGAGGCTGAACATCCCGCAGAGTTTCCGTGTCTGCTTCTCGCCCAAGCATCTCCTAGGATGGCCACCTTCCCCAGGCCCCGCTTAGTGGCCTGAGATCCTGCATGGGCTTGTGCCAAGCCTGGTTTTGGGAGCCAATTAACTCTGCCTTCTTTTCCCAAAGAAAACACAGGCCCTTGGCTCTGAAGCAGGCCTGGTCCCCTAGGCTTTTCTTGGTTATAATTAGAAAAAGACCTGTTAAAGACCTCAGTAAAACCCCCTTCCTAGGCTCTCCCCAGTGCCCACTTCCCTTGCACAGTTTTCCAAGATCCTGACCAACGTGAATATGCTATTTTCCTCACTTGGAAATGCTTTTCCTGCAGATGGTGTTTTCTCAGTCCCTGGAGCAACATTCCTACAAGGTTTCACCATTCCTCAAAATACTCAAAAGAGAGCAATTTCTGATTCCTCCTTTTTGGCTCTGTTTGCAGCGTGCGCATGCACACACACACACACACACACACACACACAGAGGGTTTTTGGGTATTCAAGCAGCAGCTGCCATGGGACAGGAAGTGAGAGTGGAGTGTGGTGGAGGAGCTGCACCCACAGTTACCTGCGTTGGTCCTGCCACACCCCAAGGGCTGCGGTTGCATCTTCAGGACTCCAGCCTCACTAGGCAAGAGTGGCTTCTCCTGACCACACACCTAAAGACTCCATCACTTATTGCACGCGTATGGAATAGATTTGTAGCCTGGCCACAGTGAGGTCATCAAGAATAAAAATACTATGTGAGGTGCTGTGGCGTAGTGGGTTAAACCTCCGACTGCGGTGCCGGCATTCCATATGGGCGCTGGTTCATGTTCCTGTACGGGCGCCGGTTTGTGTCCCAGCTGCTCCTCTTACAATCCAGCTCTCTGCTATGGTCTGAGAAAGCAGCAGAAGATGGCCCAAGTCCTTGGGCCCCTGCACCCACAT